CTACTACTAGCGATGGCCTCCAACCTAATGGCGATGGCCTCCAACCTAATAGCAAGAGATCAGGAGTACTCCTTCAATCCTGCCATCATCATTACCAATTCTCATGTTAAGCATCTCTTTTGCGCCAAAAATGAAGCTCCGACTCACTGGTCGTCCAATTGCACTCCGATATATCTTGGCAAACTTCGCGAGAGTCTGGACGTGCTCGCCCACAATCTGCCTGCAAAGTCGTCAAGAGCCAGGAGCAGCTAGTACATTTATACCGGCATTCCATGCTACATCACCAAACAGACTACTCCCGACGTCGTCCTCCAAGGGGCCCGAGCACGACCTGTCAGCAACAGCAAAAGGTGAGGAAACAACAAAGGAGACATAAGGAGATACTAAATCAGGAGATAACAGGAGTGGTGGCAACAAGGAACGAACTTGAAGACCTGCCAAGTTTTCAAATGGTGAAATCATCAACGATTTCTCTTGCTTGGTCTGGGCGTTCGACACATTGCGGGTCCGAGTGCCATGACCACACCTAGCAGATGTGACAAAGCTTTGGAGTTGGGAAGTTGGCATGTTCGTACTGCTTTGGCAACTTGCTACCATTTGCGCACCGGCTGCTGCAGTCACCCCAGTCAGATGCCAGCCACACGCATCCAGCGGTTTCCTTGGCAAACAGCAGTGAGATCAACAAACTCAGAATGAAAGAATACAGTACATGCTACGGTACATGCTGTACGCGTGTGTATATATATATATTGTTTTTGTTTTTACTACTATCCATTTATGCCATAATCACTGCTTTCCTCACTATGACACCACAGTGACATGTGTTCAATCTGGGTTGAAATTGTCATGTATTATATACATCAAAATATTGAGGTGGCAGCGTAGCAGGCCACTTGGGATGTCTCAGGCTCGGGTCCACAGTCGGTGGCCTCACGGACCAAGTGTCTCACAGCTTTTTCATGAATTAAAGCGTGCAAGCATTGAACTGGTTGGTCTTGGCCCCAAGCACTACCGCTCGGACAGCTCCAGGATTGATCTTGGGTGCCAGCGCCGCACCTAACGGCTAATCTAGAATGTGCATGGTTTGGCCAGCACACGCAATGACTGCTGAACTTTGTTGAGGCAAATACGTTGTGTTGCATTCTGTCAGCGTCGATGGTTCCTGGGCAAAAAAAGTGGTCACAAACGTCCGTTTGGAGAATCAGCACTAAGGGCTAGACCCAGCTGCAGAGCTCAGTAGAGTAGCAATCCATGCTGCTCTCTGGCATTGGCTTTGGGCAGTCCTGGCTGGGTTTCAGATGTTCACTCTGTTTGCAACCTGGTGCATGCACCTTTCGGACCAACAGCTTGGCGCCCTCTCTGCACGTTTGGAAGGTCCCTTTGGACATCAATTGTACGACATCTAGCACAGTCTAGGGCTAATCAGGAAGGTCTTGATAGACCCCTTTCCCACAGACCCCTTTCGTCTAAAACTCTCTGAAAATTTAGAGTGGGAAAGGGGTATACCACGATAAGCATCTCACAGAGACTCATGACAATGCCAAGTGGTGAGCATTTTCATAGACGGTTTAGAGCAGTTTAGAGTGCTACTCTAAACCACTCTAAAATCTTAGAGGAAAGGGGTCTGTGGTATCATTCTGCTTGGGGAGAACCCTCTGGAACATGTCTAAGACGACTAAGTCACATAGTATGATCTTGGTGACGTTCAAGCTACAGCGCTTCAGCACGTCACGATGAACCAGCCCAACCAAACACTGATGCAAGAACTCAGCAGAGGGTGTGTTTGCCATCTCCTCAATGAAGCCACTTTGACAGGAAATGGATCGAGTCTGCGTTCCGGCACCACAAGTGCTTGAGCACGAGCTCCTGAACACCAAGGGTACAACAACTTCAAGGACTCTTCAAGCTACAGCAGAAAATGCGCTAGACGAGGCCACCCTAACAGAAGTCGAAGTCCTACCTAACTTAGAGCTTTCAGCGAAAAAGAAATGATGATGCTGGGGATGGTACCAGTCACCAAGAATCCAGGAGCAGTCAGAGGTGTCTTGACATGCCCTGTCATTGCTTGATCACCATTGGCAAACTCTGATTTCGAAGAACAAAATGATAACAGGAAAAAAGTCTGGAAGAAAGAAACAAAAGGCTATAAACCGAGCTCTGACTTAGATTTCGAGAAAATACACGCCAGCAAGGCATCCGAGATTGAGCTCCGACAGACTGGTCCTGCAGATTTGATCAACACTGACTAGCTTCTTGTTACTAGTAGTAATGCACCTTGTCACTAGTAACGTCCTTGCTACTAGTATGCACCTCGCTCCTAGTAGCTTCTTGTTACTAGTAGAGGTACAATGAGATACATAGAAAACACGTTTACCCTGCCCCGGACTTTACCCTGCCCCACACCTCTCGAATGCTTCCGCACTTTCCTAGTCTGTGTAAATATTCAAGAACTTACTTCAGTTTTCAGTGGTCCTCCACACCCGCATCACCTGTGGCCTGCCAATGATTTTGAGAAGCAGGCTTGCGGTGATGCAGTGGTAGATCTTCTCATACGACATGACTACAGTATTACAATTTAAAGAAACGCTTCACCTACATAGAAATCATGCCGGATGTACGAGGCTGCCATTTGAAGATGCATTCTGAGTTGAATTGACAGACTCATTGTCATCTTCGTAGGCAGACTCATTTTCAGCATCCATGTCGTGCTCATACATCCACTCGCTACTAGTTGCATTGGTGCCGTTGACAAATTCATTGTCATCTCTGTCCACAGAGTCGTTGACAGATTCATTGTCATCTTTGGCCAAGTCCATAGTGGGCTGGTGTGCGAACTCTCCCACTGACTCGTTGAATGTTTCGTTGCCAATGTCTGTCGTGTTTTCCACATCCTCATCGTCCATCATCCACATCATGGTACTTCCATTGTAGCTGCCATTGCCATATGTCGAATTTACTGGCATGTCATTGTGCATTCCATCCATCATATCCTGGCGTCAAACACATGTTGATATAAACAATGCCTATGGTAGGACAGCGAAACAAAGCATTGGCTTGACTCTTCCACCAAAGAAAAGGCAGCACACCAGACCAAAACAATATCCTCCATTTCACTAGCATTGCTCTTGTTGGATATGTTGATCAAGTCCACCTGCCACCAGGATTGTTTCGTTGTGCATTTCCAACTAATGGGACTGCAAGTATAGCATCCTGGACAAGTTCCTTGCGTTTGCTGACTCTTTGCCATGCAAAAGCTGTATGTGCTGTAGTGCATGCGTCCTAGCAATGCCCTGAGGATGCCTCGAATGGCACCTGCGCTTGTGCCAAAAAAAACTGTTCCTTTGGACGGAGTGACAAATGGATCCTATATAACAATAGTTAACGGATCAAACAGCCTGTGGAGGAATCTGAGGAAGAGAAAAGTTCACAAATGGTGGGCTCACAGCACCACAAATCTCTTGCACCTCAGCGTTGGTTTGCAAAGTCCGCAGTCGCTTGAAGCTTGCGTTTTGTCAGTCCGAGATGTTAACCCTCATCCAGTAGTGCTGCTCTGGAAGCAATGCGCCCGTGTAGATCAAGCACCTTCAAGAGAAGCCACAAATGCATTGTGGAATCGGATATTGTTATAAGCTCTGCAGCTACACTACATCAAGACTTACATGGACTGACTTGGACAGACCAAGTCCCAGGCTGCTGCTCTGTTCCAGCACCAGGAGATCGCGGGCAAGTACCCAAGGGCTGCCTTGGCAAAACAACCAAAGCCTTCCTGTTTGGTGCCGGCGTCATGGCCGTGGGTAGGTGTTCAGTCAGCATGGCTTACTGATTCCGTTGTTTTATAGGCTCAGCTCCGTGCCAGCTCTCATTGAAGTACTCGATGGCCCATCCTTCCAAATGCATGTGCTTTATACAACGACAGCACATGACCGACAATGCAGAGCTCCTGTGCCTATGCAATCGCCAGGCCTTAGCAATCACAATTGGAGACAGGACTTCAAGGTTTCCTGTAATAGAGAAAAAACATAAAAGAAACATCATATTGAATGATGACACTTGGCCTCAAGCACCATCCCTGATATGAAAGTAATCATTGCATGCTCCATTGTTCGGGCCACTTGAAAGCTCCTTCCACAGGCATTGCAGAGCGTGGAGAAATCTTTGTGTTTCTTGAGTTCTTGAGATTGAAAATCCCAACTCACCCGGCATCGCTTTGCTCAATGGTCGGTATTGTCCGCGGCTCCAGGGTGCATCAGGAGAAAGCAATGCGGTGGTGTTGCTTGCTTCACCGCAGCTCTGAGCCTGCACAGGCTTGCAGCATGCAAGTTTCCCTAAAAATCAAGGAACTAAAGCATTAGTGTCATTAGTGCGAGCGCTTCTTCAAGGAAGCTTCTCCCGCCACCCGACAGGGTGGCGGGGTGAATTTCCTTGAAGAAGCGCGAGCTACAGTATCCTGCGTCCTAGGTAGTAGCTTACTTGCAGCTAGTAGCTACCTCTCCCTCCTAGCGGCCTACCCCCCCTGCGCGGGCTTAAACAAGAAAAAAGGAAGTTGCATTTGCATTGCAAGTGATGTTCGTTTGTGCGCAGCCAAAGCGCTGAGTCACCAAAAGTCAAGCGCCTCCGGGTTCTTGCAGAACTCACATATACGCACAAAGTACGTCGTGTTGGACTGCAACCTGAAGACCCAAGGTGTTTCTACAATGCAATCTACAAACTCATCAAACACAAAATTCGCTGAGTCACTCACACTCTCCTCCATGTTCTTTTAAGGACAGTGCAGTTTTTGTGTGATCACACATGGAGAGACCATCCAACAAAACTGCTGGAAAAGGGGAACATGTTGGCCGCTCCCCCACATTCCTGTTGGTACCTGAGTTTGGTAGCCGCGTATGAGCTATGTCCTTGAAGCGTTGTCTTGATGCTGTAAGAGCCGTTGTGACAGCGTGGTTTTGCCTTCTGAAAGGCGTTTGGCACTCGAAAGCCAAGGGTCCACAAATGTGGGATTCCCAACCAGGTAGGACCAATCGATAAGGGTATGGATAAAGGCAGAAGTAGTCGCACTAGTAGTCGGCTTGGAGTATAGGCAACAGTGGAAATGTTTGTAGTAGCGTCAGCATGGTTGGCAGCAGCAGTTGTAATTCTATTCCATGCAAACAAGAAGAATGGTTCTAGAGTTCAGCAGCTGAACTGGAAGGTACTGATGACCTTCATGTTTATTTGTTTATTGGCCACAAACACCAGAGTTCTTACAAAATGAATGAAACAAGGCGAGTCAGATGAGCTTGCTCAAAAAAGAACCTGACCCAAATGAGCTGAGTCTCCAGGCCCTTGTAGCATGCACTGTGTGCTTTCACGATTTTGCGGCAAGCACAGGATACTTTCATTCACACTCCGCATGTCCTAGGTCTGACGCTCTGTAGACAGAGCTGTGATGTGACACGAAGCAATGCGAGGGTGAAATGGCAGTACAAGTATTGAGTCTGAATTTGAAAGTATCGCCGCTCAAAATTCAATTCAAACACATACAACTAAAATACAAACAACCAATCAGTAGGAGGAATCTCAACTGCGATGCTACTCAACGGTTCGGGGTTGAGATGGAACGTGAACTAATTCCAAGGCATGTCCGAAAGTATTCAGTTTCCCACGCTGGAATTTTCTGATGGCATCACCTTTGGCACAAAACAAGACATGGACAACAAGGAACACTCTTGTAAGAAGACACTGGCCTCCACCCAGGATGATGCCTCCAGCCAGGCAAATGCCTTTATGTTTGGTTTACTGTTTTCCACTGAGTACATGCAAGAAAAACAAAGTGTTCTTCTGTAGAATGTGGTTCCACCAAAAGGCAGCGCATGCTTCAGCACGACTTTGGTTCGTTTGTGATGGAACATGTCGGCATTTTGGCTACGGCCGCTATAGCTAGTTAGTTTTCAGGCAGAAGTCATGCTGTTTCTATGTGGTAGCGACGTTGCCCGATCCTTGCCAAAAATACACTGCTGCTAGACGGGCCAGGGACACGGTAGTCATGACATGACATAAATAAAGGGTGAGTGGTCAAAATTCCTTCGAATGAATGGCTGTTCATATGTGTGTGTGTCAGAGTGTCCAACCCGGTCTCCAGGGGGGCTACTTACAAGCTTTCACTCAACCTGTACAGTTCGTTCGCAGGGGGGCAATGCCCGACTGACAGACACTGCCCAACGAAGACACTGTCAGCTCGTGGCGAAGCAATGTGGGACACCGCATTGTGTACCTGCACAATTTTTAATATACCGTAAAGGGCTAATGCGAGTTGTTGAAACTTTCTGTTGAACTGATTTTGCATTCCTGCCGCTCACCAAGCCAAGGTCTAACTTGCAGCACGAATAAAGCGCTGATGCTCACTGCGCATCTTTGAAGCGCAGCTCCGCAGAGCACTCATCTTAAGTGTGATTCGCAGCTTCTCCCCACTGTGGTAAGCTGTGTGAACCCCAAGAGGGCGCCGCTGCTGAGTCTTTTGCTCCATCATTGGAGAGAATCACAGTATAGTCCGGCACGGACCTCAGACCACCGAAGCTGAATTTTCTTGCTCGAAGCATGATTTATGGAAATCGTCTCACCTCAGTATGTATGAATCTTGCTGCAGAGCTTACTGAATTGCTCTTCTGAGTTTGTTTCACACCAGGACCAAGTTTTAATCCAGGTTGTGATTTAACTAGTTCTCGCACCAACTCCATGTTCTTACACGACAGATCGCTACAACTGTCACATGGTCATTCGGTTTTCAGTCTCACTGCGAGATTGGCTCTTCACGCACAGACGCCATGTCCAACTACTGGCAATACTACGCACATCCTCCACGGGCACCACCACATCACCCTTTCCCGCTAGCATTCTCCACAACTCAGACTCAACAAACACACTCACAACCGTGTACCACTCCTTCCCCTCCTCCACATCAACCTCACACAGACCCCCAACCGGCATCACTTCACATCAACAACTCTTCACCACCACCCGCAACCGCCTCCCCATCACGTGCCACCACAACAGACACAGCAGCTGCCGCGCAGCCGGTCACACTGAGCCACATTCTCAATCTACACCCCCACCTCAACTCACAACTTCACCTCCACCCTCCAACCTTCACCGTCACCTTCACAGCCCACCACGCGGACAGCTCAATCTCAGACAGACAACCCTTCACCAACCGCACCTCCACCACCAAGCCCACAGAACATCAAATCGGAACGACCTCGTCGACCCACACCAATCCATCGCACCCACCATTTCTACTACCAGAGGTCTACGGCGGACCCACAACGCTCACCACCCCGCAGCAGTCACAGACATCGTTACTCGGCTTTTTCGTACGCACACCAAACCCTCAATACCGCACAGCCACACCTGATCCACAGCATACCTCTCCAACACCCAGCGCACCATCGCGCCCACATCACAAGCCACTTCCTTCCACCTGCTCCGACTTTGGAACCTACACCGGCCAAGCGCCGACCACCCAACTTGCCACCTCCACACTTTCGAGAACCTGTCGATCCAGAGCAGAAAGCAAACTTTCAGTGGCTCAACCAGCATTCCAGCTCTACGTTAACTGCCAGGGCCCTGGCAGCAGCACACCTCAACACCACACACTTCACCGATTTTCAATTCCTCACCCATTCAAAATGTGATGACACAACCAATGCCTATGTGGACCACACTTTCTTTGTCCTCATCATTCCAGCTCTCGCCAATCGTGGCGACTCACCAATACAACCTCCAACTAGACAAGCAACAGTCAATGTTAAAGCCTTGAAGCACATTTTCGCAGCACACATCAGCGAAGAAGGAATTCTAATCTCCATCTTACAGGCCGGCGAGATCGTACGATCGATACTGCATGACACTGACAACGTCGGCTTTTTCACCCAAGCCTTCGAGCTTGAGATTGCGCAGAAGTTGCCCGTGTTCTTTTTAGCGCTTCAAAAATGAGCAAAAGTCGGAGCGGCTTGATTTTGACGCTCAAAGCCTATGGCCAGGGACAGAAACTCACACGCTGCGGCGAGTCAGCCGGGTAGATGCTGGGTAATTCATCCGAAGCATTCACGCCTTGAAGGCGTTGCATGGCGAGCAGATGACCGCCCACCCCTCAGTTTCATTTAGTTCATCCATTTGCACCAAGGAGTGCTTCCAGCAACACACTGTTCAGCAAAAACAAGACCCTCCATAAACTATACCTCGTCGCATTACACGAGCCACTACTCGCGTTCCAATTGACTCGCTGCTTTGATTTTACAAACAAGTGTGCGGCTTCGTCCTCATTTCCTCACTATACAACCAGACACTGCACTCTTTTCCAGCAATACACCATCCTGTCTCCTGCAGGGTCAAGTGTTTTTCAGATCGCAGCCATTTACATCAGCGCTTCCTGTATCCCTGACTGACACTACACAAGCCTATTCCCGTGACTTCACCCATCGACATCCCGCTGGCACACAGACTACTCTTGGCACATTTACAAGCTGCCTAACTTTCGTCGCTGGGGTCTTGCTTCAGTAAACACACGTGCAAAATTGCAGAATCACATAATATATGCCCACATACAGCCTACAGTATAACATATCTGAGTTCGTGCATGCGTGTCACATCTCTGCTCTTTATATCCATTACAGTATTCTTTCTTGGACGCTGGGCTTGCGAAACGTGACCGACTGCGGGAGTCGTGCGCGTCGGATGCTCAAACGTGAGGTGAAATGCGATTTCGCGTTGAGCGAATCCTCTGTGAGGTTAAATGAGAATTTTTGGTTGCGTCGATGAACCCCTTGCGGAGATTGTGGCTGCTGAGTTGCCAAAGTGTGTCACTGTCGTCAGAAGTGGCACATCCATGGCCACCGCACTGCAGAACCTACCCCTTTACAATCGACCCACGCAACCAACACGTCCACCACAACCATCTTCACCACCGCCACCCCCACCACCTTCTCTTCTCCTTCTCCTTCTCCTTCTCCACAACACCGTTCCTTACGCAGCCCCCCTACACCCACACCCACACACTTCTTTCCACCGTTCAAACACACAAAGCTGCAAAATCGAACCACCACCTACTCCACCGCGAGCGCTATCCATCTCCACACCATCACCACAAAACCTCAACGTTCCTGGCTTGCGGCGCCCGGCGCCTCCCAACATTTCTCCCCTCTTTTCGCTACACAGTTCTTCCCCCACTCCGCCTGCTCCAGTTGCCTCACCAGCACCGGCAACATCACCAGCACCACTGCCTCCACCACTTCCACCCGCCACCACAACAACCTTCACCACAGGAACCACCACAATACCCAGACAATGGAGGCTGGGAACCCAGTGACGATGAAAAACTCACCGAGCTCAAGCTTAACAAGAAACTACGACCCAGCTGGAAGCACGTTGCAAAAGCGCTCAACAAGACCGAGTTTGATTGCAAAGAACGCTGGATCACACTTCAGATTCTCTTTGAACATTCCCCAAGTGCACATACAGCATTTCCAGCCACTGCTACACCCAAGAGCTCCTCGGCATCAACATCGCTTGCGAAGCCAACTGCCGAAGCAGCAACGATGGCGTCACCCTGTCAAGCAGCACAAGTCACGACGACTTCAACACCTTCCACGGCGCCACCAGAGGCCCTCATCGACCCGTTGCTGCCATCTCACGAAGTCAAGTCTCACACCGACCGAATCAATCATTGCCACGGGCAACAGGCTCGGCCAGAATACGGCAGTTTCACAAGCTATAGATCGGAAAAATGTTTCTTTTTCGTCCTTTCTGCATTACAGAATCCGCGGGCATCTCACTCGCTGTCTTTTTCACCGTTTCGCCATAGCTTGCTTCACGACACTGCAGCCTTTCAACTTGGCACAATTTCTAGACTGATTTTGCCTTTGATTCCCTCGCACCAACATGGCAGATTTGCCTGATACGCAAACAATTGCCGAACTCAAGGACAATAACGTCCAAATAAACCGCTTGATGGTACGACAGCTGAATCTCTTGAACGAGACAGTCAGGAGACTACAACTTTCCACGCAGCCACCTTCTATCAGCACCCCTCCACGCCACACCGTACAAAACAACTACAAGACCTTCTACCCGCAATGAAGAAAGCACACGAGCGTCAACAAGCATTCTACCACCAGTGTCTCAAGATCCAACACATCCGCCCATCGCTTCAGACACATGTATTGAAACTTGCTTCCAACCTCCAACGCACTGCCCACACTCACACGCAAGCCCACGCATCCACTGCTTTTGTACGCTCCAGCACCTCCAGATACGTCAAAACGACGAACCACCACCACTGACCTCGCGCCACAAATACCACACTAGCCGGCACGCAACACGCTCACCTTCTCGACACCGCACCACTCGCCACAGACGTCACAACAGTCAACGCCACAAACCCGCCAGTCGATCCACACAAACTCACTGTCATCGTTCCAGACAGTATCGTCGCACAAGAAGCACCAGCAAATCTCACCACTCACGACAAGCACGCTCTCATTCGCGATCCCTTTCAAGATCAAGATCTCACCGATCAAAACACAGTCGTCATGCCAAGAAGGACCAACAGAAGAAGCGTGGACACCGCTCTCGCCCCCCTACACCTGCGCATACCACAAGCCATCACAGCAGGGCACATACACGCGCCAACAGTTCACCGCCCTCACATTCACGCACACACCTTCACACCGATCACCACAATCTCTACCTCGTGATTACCTCAGCCCTA